AGGATTGCCGGGGCCCAGCAGGTCGAGGCTGCGGTGGCCGGGAGCGGCCACTGCACTCCAGTCTGGGTGACAGAGTGAGACTCCAACTCCAAAAAAACAAAAAAAGTCCACCAGGTGATTCGAATGCATGCTGAAGTTCCAGAGCCAATGCATTAGACAGAAATAATGCCTCACCTCATGACTGTAATCCTGGCACTTTGGGAGGCCAAGGAAGGAGGAGTGCTTGAGCCCAGGAGTTGGAGACCAGCCTGAGGAACACAGTGAGACCTTGTCTCTACAAAAAATTTAAAAATTAGCAGGGCATGGTGGCACACACCTATAGTCCCAGCTACTTGGGAGGCTGAAACAGGAGGTTCACCTGAGCCCAGGAGGTTGAGGCTGCAGTGAGCCATGATTGTGCCACTGCATTTCAGCCTGGGCAATAGAGTGAAACCCTGACTCAAAAAAAAAGATCAGAAAACATTACATTTCGGCTAAGAATAATAAATGTATTTCTAATCTGGTCAGGCACGGTGGCTCACACCTGTAATCCCAGAACTTTGGGAGGCCAAGGCAAGAGGATTACTTGAGCCCAGGGGTTCAAGACCAGCCTGGGCAACTTGGTGAGACCTCATCTCTGCAAAAACTCAAAACAATTAGCCAGGTGTAGTGACTCGCACCTGTACGTCCAGCTACTTGGAAGGCTGAGCCCAGCAGGTCGAGACTACGGCGGCCATGAGCATGCCACTGCACTCCAGCCTGGGCAACAGAGTGAGACTCTGACTCAAAAAAAGAAAAGAATGTAAATATAAATGCTAGGAAAAATACAGTTAGAAGAACTAAATGTATCTGCCCCGGAGGCATGGGACAGGGTGGGGAACTATACAGCAGGGATCTCTTCCTTTTCAAAATAAAATGTCTACTACTATGGTATTTCATTGTTTAATTATGTGCATCTATTAGTTTAATAAAAAGAAAACATTTAAGGCCAGGCATGGTGACTCACACCTGTAATCCCAGTGCTTTGGGAGGCCAAGGCAAGGACTACCTGAGCCCGGGGGCTCAAGACCAACCTGGGCAACTGGGTGAGACCTCATTTCCACAATAAATCAAAAAAATTAGCCGGGTATGGTGGCACACGCCTGTGATCCAGCTACTTGGAAGACTGAGACAGAAGGATCGCCTGAGCCCAGCAGGTGGAGGCTGTGGTGGCCGTTCGTGTGCCACTGCTCTCCAACCTGGGCGACAGAGACTCTGACTCAAATAAATACATAAATAATTTAAATATCACTGAAGCAGAGGTCAAACAAACCTTTTCTGTTGAGAGCCAGACAGTAAATATTTTCTGGGCTAATGTTTCTGTCGCAACATCCCCGCCCGGGCATTTGCGCATGAAAGCAGCCAGGAGGCAACACCTAAATGACGGGCATGCTTGCAGCCCAGTCACACTTATGTACAAAACAAGGGGGCAGATCTGACCCACAGGCCAACCCCACGATGAAGCACACTTAGAGGCTGGGCAGTCCCACCACTTAAGGCGGCTGACACAGGACGACTGCCTGAGGCCGGCCTGGGAAACATAGTGAGACTGCCTATCTACAAAAAAATTAGTCATGCAATGGTGATGTGCACCTGTAATCCAAAGCTAACATGGGAGACTGAAGCAGAAGGATCTCCTGAGCCCAGGAGGTTGAGGCCGCGGTGAGCCACGATCATGCCACTGCACTCCGACCTGGGCGACAGAATTTGTCCCTGACTCAAAAAAAAAAAAAAAAAGCTCACTTTGAACTCCAGAGCTGGCTGTGGTTCAATAGCCAACTCAACTAGGTAAGCTGCTTAAACTGAACAATTACTTAACCTGTCTGTGCCCCAGTTTCTTCATCTGTAAAAGATAACATCAAAAAAGATCCTCCTAAATTTATTACATTAACATGATATGGTAATAATAGCTGCCAGCAAGAATTATCAATGGATACTAAAAGGTTGTTGGGGAACAGGATATGCACAAAGTCTCAAATGAGCATCCGTCAGGGTATCTGTCGAAAACAAAGGGACACGGTTTGTGAATGTATGTAATGCCATGAAGCAGTACAGTTAAAAATGCTTGGCTGGGCTCAGTGGCTCAGACTGTAATCCCAGCACTTTGGGAGGCCAAGGCGAGTGGACTGCCTGAGCCCGTGAGTTTGGGACCAGCCTGGGCAACTTGGCGAGATCTCGACTCTACAATAAATAAAAAATTAGCCGGGCGCGGTAGCGTGTGCCTGTAGGTCTGGCTACTTGGAAGGCTGAGGCCGGAAGGATGGCCAGAACCCAGCAGGTCGACACTGGGGTGGCTGTGAGTGTGCCACTGCACTCCAGTCTGGGCGACAGAGACTCCGACTCAAATAAATAAATAAATAGCAACTTGTTCTGGTTTTCTAAACAATATCCTACCAGGGGAAGTGAGGACCAGTCAGAAGCCCAAACTTCACCTGCACATAAGCTACTTATATATCAAATCCTGACTTGTTCCCCCATCTTTACAATTAAAAAAATACATCTTAAAAGATGCAAACTTTTCCTGAAGAAAAGGACAATCCTGTCTCCGCCCATAAACATGAAATCTTGTCTTTTTTTTTTTTGCTCTTCTACCTTGAAAAAAGATACGTACTGTTCTGCCTTCCTTTCTAAAACTGTCTTTGGTCATTCTTCCATTATAACTACTTATATTTTTTTTTTAAGAGAAGGGTCTTGCTCTGATGCCCAGGCTAGAGTGGCTAGAGTGTTGTGGCGTAATCATAGCTAACTGCAGCCTTGTACCCAAGCAATCCTCCTGCTTCAGCCTCCAGAGTAACTGAGACTACAGGCACATGCCACCATGCTGGGTTAATTATTCTTTTTTTTTTTTGTAGAGACAGGGTCTTGCTTTGTTGCCCAGGCTGGTCTTGACCTCCTGGCTTAAGCAATCCTCCCATCTCAGCCACTCAAAGTGCTGGAATTACAGGCATGAGCCACTGCACCCAGCCTCATTATAAAATTCAACTATCTTTATTATAAAAAGCTTTAAATATACATTTAAAAAAGGGAGGAAGTAAAATTCAGATGGCTCTCACCACCAAAAAAAATAGCTGCTGTCTTTTTGTATATGTGTTTGTATATGTATGTTGTGTGTATGTTGTGTATGTGTGTACATGTGCATATTTGTTCGATAAAGGTGGAATCCAAACATATCAGGCATCTTAAGCAGCAGCTCAAATCCCCTCGGCCTGGTCCGTCTCTGAAACCCTTGGTCACTTTTCCCACCCCAGCTGTCTCTGAGCTGACAGCTACACACAGGCACAAGCCCACAGCCCCAACTCCCTAATCGCACGGGATGCCTCACCCCCACCCTTGGCTTGCCTCTTGGCCTCGATGAGTGAGCCTGGGGGCCCACCGGCACCACACATGCAAACCTAGAAGTTTGCGAGAGGCAAGTCACCACGCGGCAAACCTTTTGCCAACAAGACACAGAAGCTGAGGGTCACATCCTGCCCCTCCTTCCTGGGCACTGACTGTCCTCGAATTCAGTACTTTACACCCCCCCAGGAGTCCAGCGACCACTGCACTTGTACCAGGTGGGGTCAACGTGGAACCAAGCCCTTGAACTCCCTTAATCTTCCTCTCTCCT